GAGTATTTCCTAAAATTTTTAAGTCTAGGATGACCATCTGTGCTCAAACTTAAAGACGGATGAGCTGTCATCATCATCGGTCCGCTATAGCCTGAGTCGGCAATGCTCATTTACCAATACTCATTTACCAGTTGTTGGCTATCAGCTCTGAATTCGGCTTGCTTGATCAGGATTTTTCACAACATAGTATGCCTTCAGTGATTAACAGAAGCGTTCATCGACATGGTGATTTGACTGTGTTACCTTGGGTGTGTGCGCTTGTCTGTGTGCATACGTCCTGTTCTGTTTGTGTGATGTGTATTCACGCTTAGAAACGTGATTGCTTCGAGTAAATGTATGGTTTACGCTCGGGACTCGGGTTACCAAGTCTGACAGCCTGCACTGGAAGTCACTCTGCCGCTCACAAAACAATTCATCTGGCGATTTTTAAACTCTGTTGAAATTCAGCAAAACACTGGACTTATACTTCTTTGAAGGACAGGTTGAACGACGGGTTAACCAGTCATTGTTGAGAGGTACCCTCCAAATTGAATTGATATTTGTAAAGAGCTAAAGTTCACAGGACATTCACGTGAGAAACAGATCTTTGGACTGATTCAGACAGAATACATTAAGTTTGGCAATTGTGGTGAGGAGGTTAGAAAACGCGTTTTCGGTTGTGCAACGCGTACTTCCATAGAAGAATGTGTCCAGCACCAGAAGCTGCGTTGGTTTGGATACGTGTTGCGTATGCCGAACCATCGTTTGCCGAAGAGCGTGCTGTTTTCCACGCCCAACTCAGAGTTGTGTAAACAGAGAGGTGGCCAACCCTTGAGTTGGTAGAGGAGTATGAAGGAGATCACGCTTGGGAGCTGTTGGTGCTACTCGCCCTCCAGCATGGGGACCGCTTGGTCCTCACTGTGCCTGATTGGAGACACTGGAGGAAATGGCTGCCAACCGATGTCAGTGGCGATCTTGTTAGTTTCTATCCAGATTGCCTAAATGATTGTTTGGAGGTGTAGGCTTCTCGGAATGATTGTAGTAAGCCAGCACTTAGTCCCTTCCCCGTCCACCTTCATTCTTTTCTTCACAATAAAGCTTTCCATTGACTCATGTTTGTACGGCAGCGAGGCATCGGTGTTGAACACTGATGTCACGCTGTCGATGATGATGATGACGAAAGTTCACTCAGCTATGCACTGAGCCATAAACACGTGGACGGTTGATGGAACGATATAAAAGGGTCCGTCGATTAAGTTTTGGAAGAAAGAACTCACACGTGGCAGGTGAGGTGTGAACACCTCATAGGTTATGCTAGTCTTGTCTCTTCTCTAAATACAAGATGACCCGTTTCTCCCTCAGAAGAACCAAAGGTGATGTAAACAGAAGGTTATCACCCATATATGGTTTCACGAATTTGGTTCTATTGGTTACTATTTGAACAGTCCAGTATGAATTTACCAATCGTCCTTCTTTTTGTAGCCTTCCTTTCGTGAGCCTGTATATTACGTCAACCCTTCATTCGAGTGGACTCGAACAGACCCGTTAAAAGGTATTGAACCATCACCTGTCTACCGGAATGCCCCACCTCGTTCCATACCTGTCCAAGAATTGTTTGAGCGCGGCCCAATTCAACCCATTTCAACCAAAGGTGTGGGCAACAGCCGAACCCAGGTGAATGGGGTTTTTTCATCAGAAGATGGATTTCTAAAACAAAGTGAAACAAATTCATCGCGCCTGTGATGAAGCCAAACGGCTACGAGTGTACATGACTTGCAATCAAACTAAATGACTAACAACATACTATTTTCTTGTTGTGAGTGTTTTTTTGGATCATGTTTTTTGGCTTTGAAATGTGATGTACTGTTGCCACCATTGACTCCCTGCATTATAGGCCATATTTTTTTGTTCTGATCCTTGTCAGCTTATAAAACCCATATTTATTGTATTCTTATCCTGAAAAAACCACTGAGCTGTTCTGTAAACATGACAAAGATAGGTAAAAGTTCTTCGGCTTTTGAACTGTTTTGGATCGATTGAACCGTACAGTGGATGGGAGATGTATGGATTTAATCCAGAGGAAGCTTTTATTGGACCCGAGTCAGGCGTCAGGAGATTATTTTAAATACTGCTTGTAGGAACGCATTTGCTCCATTGGGGCTCATCAACCAGGCCTGATTTCCAAATCTTGATCAGTTTTATTTTTCACTTAGTACAATGTGACAAATACCAAATTGGCAAATCAATTAAGTATCAACGGGAGACTCGGCTAAAAGTCACCTGTGCCTGAAAACATCACAAACGAGAGATTCAGCTGGTTTCCAGGTGAGTCTCTCGAAAGAACAAATTGGTTTGCAAATGAGTGTATTTCGCTACTTTCGTGAAATTTGGTTTCAAGTAAAACATAAGGTTGACGGAAACTCGGGGACTGCGCCTACCCGATGAGCCACAAGAAGGGCGAAACTGGTCGTGGGCTGTCGACGAATGTTCAGCGACTTTATGAGTAGTGTATTACGAATAAATACATGTATTGCGATATCTCGAATATCGTAGCGACTTAATCATGAGGCGGTCTGGTGCAGCACATTCCGTTACCTGGAAACATCACAGACGAGAGATTCAACTGGGTTCCAGCTGAGTCTCCTTCAAAACCAATTTAGTTTCTAAATGAATGTATTTCGCTAACCTGTGTCTCTTGTTTAAACCAGTAATGGTGTAGTATGGTTCGGCCTCAAATGCGTACAGCGTATGCTCTCTAATATCCACTCTACAATTAAATACTTCAATTATAAATGAATCTAAAACGTTTTATGTGGTGCCAGATTTTAGTCTCTTTACAAGTTTGTTATCGTTTTTGTCAGCGCCAGACAACTTTGGGCCACGGAATAACAGATATGGAGCATTTTACAGCCGCGCCGCAGTTTTTCCGCTGTATTTCGTTTAAATCGCAAACCAGATGTAAACAGTCTGATCATTTACTCTCAGTATAGACATGTATGTTTAATGTATCAGGATTATGCAGGTCCATAGTCCACAGTAACCTCAGCATCGCTGACGACGTCTATGCTGATAGCCAATGTGGTTCAGGTGACTAGCGTTCTTGTTCGAATCACTTGTCGAGTTCGTTATATTTTTGACTACTTGTGAGTAGTAATAAAATCCTTAGGAAGGACTGCTCACAGACCAGTTCAGCTAGACCACTGGGACGATCAATATTCGAATGTTTAATACCACACTATAGGCGTTAGTTACGGTTTCGGAGATTTCGAACTGGACATGAATCTATGGTCGTTTGTAGGAGAGTTGATCAACCTACAGATGAATCCTGATTAGTCTGTTAGTGAGAGACTCCTATCTTGCGATAAGTCAGCCAGGCCGGCTGGCGACCACTAGTAATTGAGTTCTCTATTGTTTAGCTGGAATGTTGTGTGATAGAATCTGTGTAGTACTTGGTCGGCTGCGAGTTCTCTATTGTTTAGCTGGAATGTGCGATAGAATCTGTGTAGTACTTGGTCGGCTGTGTACTGCGGATAAGTAGGAATGAAACAGCCGTCGAATGCCTCTAAGCTTTAGGCGCAGGTTTGCTTCAACTGAAACACAGCCCTAAGATTCAATCCAAACAACCTATTAGCTAAGGCTATCAACTACTCATGAGCGTCTGCTTTTCTGCATTGCTACACGTCGAACTATTCGAAAACCGCAGTTGTAGTTATCAATCTCCAAATAAAAAAGGGGCTTTGTTCAAGTCTCTTCTGATGCTTCTGAACTGGACTATGACCAAAATAAGTTCAGCGTAGCTCCATGTTAGAACAATTTGTTGTAATTTTCGGTATACAAAATGACTTTTTCTCGCACTATATTAAAAGGGATGCTGGTGTATCGCGCCCATATTTTCTGGGCACCTTGTGAAAAGGATTCTAGCTAACGAGAACGTGCTCCGCAATGCGCACAAATCCACTGTCTATTACACAGAAGATAATGTCAAAGATGAACGCTTTTTATTGCTTACAATCATATCACAAAAACTAGGAAAAATCACGAGCGACTCTTCCAAGCTCACAGTCGAGATATGAAAATTTATGTCAAAAAGGGTACCCCTCCCACAAATCTAGCCCGTCAGAGAGAATGAGGGGAGAAGGATGCTGTGCAAATGTTGCAACAAGTTACACGGCAAAATTACCAGCCAATAACTGTTCGAAACCCCTTGATAGCCTGTCGGTCAATCATCTGCTTACGGCACGCCCCACAAGTGAGTGTCAACGCATGCTACAGTCTTCCAGTCAGTGGGCCTGATTTGTTCCAGTCAGCAATGCAGATAAACAATCTGGGCAGTGTAGCCAAAAAACGGTCGGTAGACGGACCAATAGCAATCAGGTGTGTAGAAAACCGTACGCTGGTAAAACCGCAGTGGTCTCGCCGAATAAAAAGAGAGCTTCCAGGAGCGATGAACACTTTCAATTACTGACCGTGTGACTGAAGCAACTATTGCAGCTCAGGTTGTAATGATTGTTCACTGGTCTAGGCAGTCTGGTTACAAACGCTTCATCGCCAGTCGAGATGACATCATCGATGCGTTGTGAGTAGAAGTGTGTTGGCTTCCAACCTCAACATACTTCCACTCACAGTGCCCTGATGATGTCACCTTGAAGGGTGATTCATAATTTGCAACTGAATTCCTAGCACGGTAAGCAAACCAACCGCCATCACTGCCGACAATCTCAGAGAAACTTTAGGGATTCAGCACACCTGATAAGTTCGAAAAGGTCATTCTTTTGGGTCTAATACCGACCAACTGTTGGCTTATTTTGAACACACACCCTAAGGACCATGAATACAGTGTGCTCTGCCCGGTTCTTTGGTTTACGACTGTTACATTCAGCTGTCTTATTGGTAACGGACACCGTGCACGAATATGGAACGGCCTCGCCTCATGACACAGCTCTAACCGTCTGTACACTTAATTCACGTTCACATTCAAGCTCTGTTTGTCTCTTGTCGTGACCTGAGCGATGTGGCCTGAAGCACTCTAAACTAGGTCTCTAATGATATTCAACTCAGTTACTCGGAATCTCAAGTAAAACGACTGTCGGAGCGAGTACATTAGGCCACCTTTTGATTCAAAAGTGATCTCCAACCCCAAAATGCAGTAGCTCCAATTCCACCCATCGACTCGTTCGTGGTTCAACTAAATAAAACACTATCTACACCATGAATCATCACTGATTATCATGAAGGACCATGTAAGGAGACAAATATCCGACTAGGAAACGCTTGCAAACAAGCTACCCAACTCGTCGACGTAACCAACGATGGAGTCGTGACACGTGACGAACTCTGGCCTGTGTTGGATTCTGGTGAACCGGGCTTTCTTAAACTCCCCTCTTCCGAAAACCCCTATGTCATTTGTTTTAGTAGAACAACATTACATTTTGATGTTTTTGAGAGCATGCACTTACAGTTGGACGGTTAGACGGACGACTCCCCCTGTTACGGTGGCCGAAAATACACCGCAACGGTTTCATCCAACCCGCACGGATGGTCCTTCTAAACATATCTTACTGTACTTGTTTAACAACGCTCTTCTAGAATCTCCTAGCATTAATGGTTGCGTACATCAGACTAGAATGTGAACTACACTGTTTGCTGTTGCGGAAAAAAGGTTCTGATAGGTCCTCAGCACTTTGATTATCGTTGTGTCGGGAATATGATCGAAGTAGACTGGCACCAGTCAACTCTCAGTGAGAAAGTCAAGAAACAGGTATTTCGTGGGACGCCACAAGATTCGCCTGTAAACTGAAAAGAGCACCAAACGCTTTTATGGCTCAATCCTGTGTGACTCAGGCGGAGGTGTTACGTGTTGTGGCCACTGACAATGAGAGTACTGATGTTGATGACTTGGAAAGCCAAGTGGAGCATGTGTTGTTTGTTTCAGACATCCTTAACGGCTCTACTTGACTATTCGTACAGATGTTACCTTTCATATTCTTTCAACAAACAACTTTTCGAGAAAAAAACTAATTTATATATGAAGCTTGCAGCGAGAAGTTTTTACTAAGGTTGGACTTGGTAGAAGGGTGTGAAAGGGGTAACCAGCAGTTTGTTGGTGTCCTGAAGGAAAGAGTTCCCGCGTAGGAACCTTGGGATGTTTGGTATAGACTAACGTCAGATCCCGTTTTCCCTTTTTTCAACTCAAAGAGTTAAATATAATTAATTGAACCTTGAGGTTATACGACGGTGAAGCATCAGCAATGACGTTGATGATAATGAGGTCAATGCGCCTATTGTTATCAAAATAATATTATTAGTATTATTCCCGTCATTACAGTCCCATTCAGAAAACAGGTCCTGCGGAAGAAATGATGTACTTTTGGTCGAAAAATGTCCGAGGTACAAACAAAGTTGGAAATATCCCTATAAAAATTGGCTTTTGTCTGGAAAACGCAATTTAGGTGCCGTACACGATCCGTAGTGGTCTTCAATCAGGAAACATCCCGTCCAACAAGAGTTTCACTGTGAGCCAGATTAATGCATTCACCGCCAGAATAAGGTAGACATCTGACTCCGACCCACTGTATGCAACATTCATTTTCTAATGACAAGGCTCATCCAGAGACATGAATTCTGTACAATCAGTTCATTGAAAATCAGCGGTAAGTAAATCCTGTTCCGGCGATTTTGTTCAATTTCTCGATTCCAAGTTTTGCATCAATAAGCGGAAGAAACAGACTGGTATGAAAAATATTAGTCGAAAGCAAAAATGAACGCAAAATGATTCAGCGGAAGACAAAACTTTTTGGGTCTTCAGATCCGAACAAAATTTTGAGTGTGCCCACGACCCAGCCTTTCAAACAGGTCGACTGGTCGTACAACGGTCTGAAACCGAGGTTTCTCCGTTTCTTTTGCAACCGATCCTGATGACGGGTTGCGTGAATCCTCATAGGCGCGGAAGTGTTTTGTGCCATAATCGATCGCCCCGTATTCGCCGGCGGTGCGGAGTAATTTCACGTAAGGTAGCGGTGGGGCACATCCGGAGCGAAAGCTGACGAAAAGACAAGTATACGTTTACTACTTAACGCAATAATCAGTAGTTAGGATTTTCTCCCTTACAACGTGAGATCCTGCCGTTCAAACCGACCTAACAAAATCTGCCTGGGACTCGCAGGATAAATGCTTACACACACCAATAATGATCGACTGGCCCCCCTTCAATGACGAACTCTTGTCCCCGTTCCAAACTACCCTTCTTTAGCCTACTTCGGGTGGATCGGCTTGATTTTGTATATAATGAACTTTAGTGTACAACACTGTCGATTTTTTCATTCGTAGCCCTGATTCTGGTCAGTAACATTTTTTTTGCATATCGACACATGACAAAGATCATGAATCGGACCGGCAACAGATTTACGGTCAATCTCTTGTTCTTATTCTTAGTTGAGAATGCGATCAAAGCGCACACCTGTTCCGATCTACGGCCAGGTGTTATAGGTATGCATTCGGACGCCATTGAGGGCATCACGCATCGATCTTAAAACATTGTGTCGTCTGACAGATTACAGGAATATTTAACAGTCTGATTAGTTGTTATGTGTGTAACAGTTTAATTGATTAATCAGTATGATTAATTACAATTGTAATACCTCACACCGAAGTGGGTTGTCGAGTTCTGGCAAATAGCCCGAAGTTAACGCATTGTTAAATGCTGGTTGTTGCCCAGATGATATCGATCCCGCGACAAAATCATGCTCCATGGACACAAAAACAATTTGTAACGGCACTGAAACTCAATCATGCGATGCCAATTGCGGTCCGGGACAGACTTGATGGTGACCTCACGTTTGCATGATGAACACTACTCGACTGTATTTAAAAAACATATTGGCTTTTTTCATAAAGGAAACCACTCGCAAGGTCGCTGAAAACTCTTCGACAGCCCACGGCCGGTCTCACTCTTCTTGGGGCTAGGCGCAGTCCCCGAGATTTCGTCAACCTTATGTTCTGCTTGAACCCCTTCCTTTTTGTACATTGTCAGCAGGTTATAGGTAGCTTTTCACCATGGATTATATGGGTAAAACTATATATGAAATTATAATCAAAACTCAAATTCCATGGTCATAGTTTGGGCAAGCAAGATTATCCGAGTTGGCAACAGTACTAATGACTATTAAAGTTCGGAGACAACTTAGTTTCTAGGAAGACAACTAATGATAAATTAGTGAGTAGCTATTGAATCTGATGACATACTGTAGATAAATCATCCGGTCAAAGGTGACCCAAACGGTATGAATACAGCGGATATCATAGAATTTTTTGATTTGACGCTCTGTAGCGGTTCTAAACACCGAGCACAAGTGAGATGAGACGCTGTGGACTGTCTCGCATGATGACACTGTTTTGAAGCAGGATTTTAACCTGGAAACGTTTGCACAGATTTGATTGGGCAAATTACTAAAATTCTGATTGGTTGTATATTTTGGTAACATGAAAAAATAACGTAGTACGATGGCGCAAAATTTAAATTCAGAAAGCACAGCGTGGTGAGTAAAATGTCATAATCAGACTTTTCGGTTGCTATGGTGTAAACTCCTTCAAGGCTTTCCACAGTCAATTGAATACGAATCAAATGCAACGTTATTTGAGTTTGCTATTCTCTCTTTTGATTAGTGTTTAGTAATCGCAGTAATAGTACTATAGCATTGTACGTTTCATAATCATGTCACTGGGAAATTGTTCCAATTCATTGCCACAACGGCACAATTGGACAGGTCATTGATAACCAGTTGTCACATTGCGGACTTTTTCTACTCATTCCATTTTCCAAACAGCACCATCAAAATTGACTTTGTTCTCCAAAATATACCAGATTTTGTCTATAAAGCTTCTTCAAGTGCAGCTGTTTATCAACGCATACAGATAGGAGAAATTTACTGGTCCACCAGATTTCTTGGTCTCTTTGTCGGCTTGCTGGTAGTCACCGGAAGTAGTCAACTTCTGTCCAACGTGGGCTTGGGCTGAGCTTTCACTCAGCACCGTGTTGATGAAATGTTGCTCGGAAATACCTCGTAAACCCAGTACAGTAATGACTATGTTGGGCACTAAACGATTAAACCACGATCGACCGGCCGTTCCAACCAATTCGTGATAAAATCTGGCCAACTCAAAACCCTAAACCGGTCTACTTCAATCAAAATCTAATAGATATTGAAATAAATTCCAATGAAGTCTTAATTGTATGTTTTTATCGGCTGCCATTCTATCCCGTTTTTTCCTATCAGATTTAAAACTTACGGCTCATCATGCACTCTTGCAGCCCACTCTTCCAACCTTGACAATTCAAGAGCTTTTTTCATTGCGAAATAATCCGTTTCAACCATGAGAGATGAAATGATTGGGGCGGACTTCCACTTCAGTATTTCTTCGGGTGACTTGAAGGGACCTTGAATCTTCGGTTTAACCACCGCGGTCTCCTTGTCTTGAACAGCTGTTCTCGTGTTTTCCAGTCCACACGAAACTGGTTTTCTACCGATTTTTTCTCTGATAATTTCCGGACGAGCGGCTAGCAACAGTTCGTCACTAAGTTTTGACCCCCTGCGAGAAGACGTTGAGACAGTGCATATTAGTGGCACTATTTGATACCATCAAGAAAACAGAATCACTGCATCTGATACACCAAAGTCGGTAGGAGTGAAAAGTATTAGAATATAGCCTGACTTGTGGATGGATACATGATGTTTACCGATGAAACTGATATCCACAAACCCCAGCTCAACTGGTCTGAAAGTGGCGTGCATACGCATTTCGGTGTGCAAGCTTAACAGCACTCAGAAGTTCATTTATGTAGTTACTTCTCAACCTAAGTTTGCCAAACAGTGTACACATTTAGTCGATGATCGCTGTAATCCGAATGAAAAAGCGCATGATCAGTTGAACAGCCATGATCAACAACAAGAACTGCCGCTCAGTTCGTTCAAAAGGACAAATATTTCACCGTCAGTAAGACAAGAGACGGTAGCTTGCATGAAGTCAAGTTTGCTTTGGCAGACGAGTACTTTCTTTCAATGAAAGTCTTGCCAATGGGCAATCCATTTTAGTGGCCCTCAGTTTGTTTAGTGAACCATGGCGGTCACATTAGCAAAATCTGTTCGATTTTCAACGGTGTCAATGTTCCATACCCGCCCGAAACAATGTGTGTGGGAATTGTTCATCATATATTCATGAGGTACAATGCATTCTCCCCCTGCAAAGCTTTCCCGATTTTTTTCCCAGGATCACTCACATAACCAGTCATTGTTTTCGATCAACTGATGTACGATTCGCCCGGAGAGCGCGAGATCTCTGATTTAGAACTTATTAGTTGTCTCTCTGTTTGCGTCATTTGACTTTGGGTTAACATTTATGAAATATACTCAAAGTACTTAGCTAATGAGTGACTAGCTTCACCTTGGTGGGCAGCGACTAAGTCCGGGGCTGCAAAAACTCATTCGCTTACTTGACCAGAGACTTCACAATGACCCGAATACTATCTCCTAACAAATGATTGGCGAAGCATTTAGGAATTAAAGGAGAACTGCTTTTATCGTAACAGAACCTACCAGGAACAGGCTGCGAATGAAAGTAACTGTCTAAATCATATGGATTTTAAATCCTGATTATGCAGTCAGTGTAATCCGTATATGGTACGTCGTGTTTTGCAGGTTCTCATCATTGGAATGTACTGATATATACCATAAAACCATACATTAGTAGCTCGGCTGCATCAACAGATTATCAGGTGGCTGTTGATCTGTTTGCCGAGCTTACCAGTTGACTTACAACCATTTCGTCATCATTCAAGGAGATGTCATCACGCTGTTGGGTGGATAGTTTCTCTGTCTGTGCTCGCATTCATATCGTTTGTGAAAAGCATCTATGTGCTCCAGCGTGATTGGATGTTCATAGGTAATCCAGCTGCAATTCTCATTGGTTCGTTTGTTCTACATCTTGCAATGAGGTCAGCAACACCTAAACTTTCTGTTCTTTTTCGTCGAGGGCTTCCATCCAAGACAGCCACAACTTGATTAGAAACGCTCAATTCCATGACAGTGAGTTAGATATCCATGTAGGCTCTGCTGGTAGGTTTTTAGGTCTTTAGGAAAAGATTCTAAGTGGCTTGGTTGTGTATCACGCAGGGATCTGTTTATACAGTGTTTCATTCCTCTTATCAAATATGTATTTGGTGTATTCAGTGGCTCCAAATTTATAGTTCGCTGATGGTGTTACAAGCAATCTTTCTGAAGAGTTATAAGTGCTAGATTAAACAGTCGGTAATCATTGGACCACCTATTCAAGCTACAACTCCGAATTCATCTGGTCCACCTTAAGAGTTCGCACCGGTTCCGCTCGACCGGCTTACTTCGCCTTTCTTGTAGCTAAGATATAACCAAACCCCGTTACTGCGACGCAGGTTGGTACCTGCTCAAATGCATTTCTGTAAATCAGAAGAACCTGTAGGAGAAACTTCAATGCAAATAAACTTATAAACGAATGAATAAATACAACAGGTTGAAAACCACTCTACATCTTGGCACTTTGTTATGTGTTTGGAACGACTGATTAGTTTTCCTGGACTGGAATTCGCTCGACAATCTGGTCGCACGCAACGTATTAGTGAAGTCTTGGCAAGCCTACAGTAAGTGCACCACTGAACAGAAAACTGTTGTCTGCGTTATTAGTATTTTTGCCACAAACACTAACCCACCGCTACGCACAACTACGCACTGATGATGTCACCTCGATTGGTGATGAAACGTTGGCAACCAAATTTCCCAGCTCAGCGAACAAGCCAAAGACCAGAAAACTATTGTCTGCGTTACTAGTATTCGTAAAACCACAATAACTACAATAGATTTCATTGCTTGTTAGTTCTGATAGATTGGAACAATCAGGAGGGTTACTGGACCATCTGTAGAAGAGATGAGCAAACCAAGCGCATCTACATTCACGTGATCAGACAAGATAGTTTGTGCAACCTAATGAAATAGAGGTTACATACTCACGCAGCGAGTCAGATTGCCCGAGTTCAACCCTGGTACGACCATGTAGCAACCAATTTGATTGGTCAGACCTCCACAAACCAGTATTATTCGTGGAAAAATCAGTGTGATCACTGTTTCTAAATCGTGTATTCTGTTCCCACGTGGAAGAAAAGGCATCTGAGTTCTATTATCAACCTCTGCTGATTCGGCTATTGATTTCAGTGCACACCAGAAGGAAGCAAACAAGTGAGTTGAGTCTCAATGAACGCAACTTCTCTCAAGATTTTTCATCCAGCCACAAAACATATTCTTGTCCGCTTGTCGTTATATTCGTTTTGGGTTTTCATTAACACCAATTCTTTTGATATTGAATTTCTGCCGACAAATGTGATGCCCGCTTCTATCGTTTCTACAGACACTTGTCCTTATATAAACTTCGCTGGCTATGTTTCGTGCAATACGTGTACACGAGTTCACTTTCATTTTCAGCTTTCACTCAGATAAAAATGAACAAGCCCCAAGTGTCGGCGAAATATACTTACGAGTAGTATCATCATTATCATCAGCCATATGACCCGCGCACTTGTCGTACAGTGGATGCCACTGCTACAGTTTCGTTCGCCGATGATTTGCGTACGTGGGGTAGGTAGCTGTGCATTGGAGGCGGGAGCTGATTAATTAGTGCTGTCAAATAACTGCCGTTAATGGCTTTTATACTTCACTGCCAAGTCATGGTTTGACCTCCCCAGGCTCATTTCCACCATTCACGTAGCTGTGCGAAAAGACCCTTCTAGAAAGTCGATCAAATGGCATATACATCACGTGGCCAAGACAGCGCAACCTATGCTGTGTCAGGAGAAACCCTGTCAGTCATTCACTTTGAAAGAGAATTAAGTTTTATTACAAACAGTAATACAAACCAAAATCAGACTTGGAAAATTTCCTCCAAAACAACTAAATTAGAGCGGCTGTTTGGGTCAGCTTACTTCTTTCCGGTAATGTTGTACACTCCTGGTTGTGCTTTAGTCGACAGACAAAAATGATGAGATTTCGCCCACTCCAAAAGTTGTTCCCGTTCTTTTGCTTCCTTTTCCACAACTTGCTTCCTGTTCATTTCGTCTTCATAGGCAACTAGTTGCTCTCTGAAAAAGGTGAATTGTAAAACCCAACATTAACTGAGACTAGTGATGCAATACCTTACGAAGGATCCGTTTAATCTCACGGTGTGCAAATAGGCCTTTCGCGCATAGAAGTTAAAACGGCATCTTCGACTTCGGTATCCTCTCCAAGCACTTTGAATCTAAGCCACAGCGTTTTTTTCGTATTTCTGTCTCTTACTTGTGTAGCACACCTGTTATAGGTTCCAGTACGCATCTCGTCCACGGCAGCTTCCAGTTCTTTTCTATACTGGCGACGGGCAAGGTGACCACGCCATAACTTTTGAATAGTGACAGCTGCTTTGTTCAAATAGCTTCACTCGAGTAAATGTTTGAAACAAAATACATACAATATACCTTAAGTATCTACGAACGCGAACACCTCGAAACCATGCCTGAATTTTCAAAGCAGCAGCATATTTCGCACTTCGTTCTTGGTAGTCTTCCCTAAAGTTGCGCATCACCATATTTTACAGCGAGGACAACCGGTGCTTACTTGTACGCCTCGTACAGACTCCATGTGAACCGCTCCAGAAACTCGCGCAAAAGCGGTTGGTGTGTCATTTTACTCGGTGGTCAACATCCTCAATATGCATTTTTCGTAGGGACGTGGGCAATGAATCTGAAACGAAAGGCAACGGACAGTCAGTTTTGTCAATCGTGAACGTAGGTACTAGACCCTCTGCAAAATTCACACTTATAGTCGTGGCTTAAATCATGAAACCCGAATGCTCATTTGAACCACCCTTGGGTGTATATCCACAGCGCTCTCCTTAGAGTGGTCTTTCTCAAATTCTGGCATGGTTTTCCTCGCCAGACTAAGCAAACGAAATAACCAGTTCAGTTATTAGCCGCAAAAACAATGAAACCGAGTCTTTTCAATACTATAGCCCATTAGTATTGCGTATCTTTGGTCACAACAAGTCATTAACTATGGTTGACTGACTACTGAAACAAACGTAACCCCGGGTCCATTATGATATACTAAGTGCACCTGAACTATCACGTCTCATTGTGATGGGTGTTGATACTTATGATTCGCTACCGTACAACCAACAAGTTCGTTCAATTGTATTTAAAGACTCAGGGTGGAAAAAGAAAAGAGGGAGGAAGCGAAGGGACCTGATGCTGGCCTAGAGCGAGCATTCTGAGATATCTATATTTCCAAGCACCGAGTCAGATAATCTGTGAAAAAACTTTCAGCCCATACATAATCCACTGTCATCGGTTGGCTGCTATTGCCAAGCCCAACAAGAATCATAAGTACTCCATCCTTTTCAGGATGGAGTGCATCGGCAACACCTTTTTGCCATGCCATTCTTTGTCCACCACAAAGTTTGCGCCATCCGAAAGGAAACATGGAGTTTAACACACATTCGGGTGGTCGCTGTTCCGGCAATGCGTATCACGTATCAGACACAAAACTTGGTATTTCTGAATGTTTTTCACAACTGATTACCTGCTGCACAACCAAATACGACATCACTGCGAACCCGTTGATTCCAGTCGACATCAGCAACTCTTGACATATAAGTGGATCAAAACCTGGAGACGCTTCACGCCACTTGTCCGCAGAGGCCGTCTCGCGACCTCACAACAATACAGATGAGTAATTCATCTATCGTGGAAGAGTTCCTTTATCCCAAGATCAACTGGCCTAACTCGGCATTGCTAATCCGATGTTCCCGCCAGGGGAGTTCCGTAAGTCATTGCAAACAGGCTACCCACAAGTGATGTATCTTTGTGGTCGAACAACCATGCCACCAGGACTGAAATTATCCGCCCACATAGAAAGAGGCATCAGGTCTGCCCATATGAGTTTGCTGGTACTACTTATGGTTAGAAAGATTTAACGGAATAAGCCCACAACAGAATTCCTAAATTTTGCGATGGGAAATTATCCCAACGCCTGGTAAGTAGAATATTTCTTATTGAACATGTGGCCCGATGTGCCAGGATTGGCGGAGTAGATCAGTTGCTTGTTAGGCTCTTTCTTTGTTGCGAATCCATGGCTTGTGCTTCCTGTGAAGCTGTTTAGGGAGTATCAGCATACATCAACGGGTCACATTAATTCTAGCTAGGGGTCACATCAAGTTATCTAGCACTGTTTGATTGATGTTTCTTTACCACAAACAAATGTGCATTTCTAGCCTGGTGTGACCATGGTGACTTACAGTCATCAAACTGACTTCACGGTAGTCACTTTTTGGTGGAGTTGTTAGATGACGTTACTCACTTTGTCAATGCAAGTGCAGTGCACAACACTTGCAAACGGCAGGATAATGTATAAATGGTGAAGATATGTATAAATTTCACTGACTTCATCAGAGAATCCGACTGGATGAATCAGTAAGCTCTCCTAAAAGTACTTTAATGGACTGGAGTCGTTTGCTGAACAAGTAAATTGAATCACTTGTTTGCCAAAAGTACGATGTCACAGAATGTCAACAATCAATTATTTATTTCATTTATTTGAAATCCTTACTGTGAAGAAAATAATAAATGTGGGCGAGGAAGGGACTTGGTACTAGATTACTACAATCATCCCGAGGTGCCTACACTTCCAGACATTCTTTCAGGCAACCTGGATAGAGGCATCCTGATAGAAATTGACAAAAAAATTGCTACTGACATCAGTTTGCAGCCATATCTTGCAGCGTCTCCAACCAGGCGCAGTGAGGGTCATGCAGTCCCTATTCTGGAAGGCGAACAGCACCAACAGCACCTAAACGTTTTGTGATTTTTTCATACCCCTCTGCCAGGTCAAGGGTTGGCAACTTTTCTGCTTCCGCCACTCTAAATTAGGCTTACGCAAACTGAGTTTAAGCAAATACAGCAAACACAGACTCATTAGTAAAACATATTTCACTTTATATTCTCAAGCTTGCTCCTAAACTACCAAGGAGAGGAAGCTTGCGGCCAGGCCACAGTTTTTTGCGACGTCTTTGATTTTGTTTTCTCAGCAAAACAGCCAGACGTAACTAATCTGCCGTTTCCACTGCGTTTTAGAACCATCCCTTAAGCTTTTATATATTTTCGTTTGAATTGTGGAAAATATGCCTACTGAGTTCCGTCCTCTGAAATAAAAAGCACTGTCGGCTATACCATCCAGGGTTTCAATTTTAACAATTCGTTGGGCGTAAACATTGAAGGATAAGCAGGCTCGTTTGTTATACAGTGGAAGTGCAATAACAGTCCAGAATATTTTCTCTCCTGAGGCTGATTGTCGTCATCATCATCATCATCATTGTCAGCTGTAGTAACCGCGTACTCGTCGTACAGTGGTTGCAGCTGCCGCAGTTTCGTTCACCGATGATTGCACTGCAGGCGCATTGCAGGCGAGGGGTGATAAATTGGTGTATGAATATAGCGCTGTCAGTGATCTGTTACGTGGGAGGTTTGGGAAGTGAGCTATGAATTGAAGGCAACAGCTTGGATGCACGAGCGCCATTAAAGGTGCGACTGAGTCATGTCTGACAATGTCTATAATATTTGATGTGGACCGTCTCGGGGTCCCCACCCAGGAAGACGGCAATGACCAGCGCAGCTGGGTTTTCCGATAATGGTTTTCACACTTCGCTGCCAAGTCATTGTTTGACCGCCTCGAGCTGCCTTTCACCCTTCAGGTGGTTGTGCGAAAAGAGCCTTTCGAAAAAGTCGGTCGAATGGCATATGCAGCACGTGGCCAAACCAGCGCATCCTCTCCAGTGTGGTCAGTTCATCCATCGTAGTTGAGATATCTCTACAGAACTGCTGATCCAGTGTTCCCACCAGACCCTTAGAATCCTCCGAAGACATCGATTGTCGAACACTGAAAGTCTTTTGACGTCCTCAGCCCGCACCCTCCAGGTTTCTGATCAGTATAGTAATATAGAGCGCACCGCAGCATTGTAAACTTGACCCTTGACGGAGAAATTGATGTCACGCCTACGCCACGGGTGACGTAATTTCACAAAAGGGGCTCTGGCCTTCCCAATTTGGATGGAAATTTCATCTTTAGCCAAACCACCGCGACTGATACACCTGCCTAGGTAAACAAATTTGTCTACTACCTCAATCGGTTCATCCGCAACCATGAGGCTTGGATTCGAGCTCACCCAGTCTTCCAGTAGCACTCAACGCTTTGCAGTTGTAAAGCGCATGCCAAACTACGGGGCGAAATGCTTTAGACTATTTAATACTGTTTGCATTACGACAAGGTCATATCCAAGAAGAGCTATGTCGTCTGCGTACTCGATGTATGTGAGCGAAGGCCCAGGGAGCACTTCGACCCCACAGGCATTGGAGGCCGGTAGTGAGGCTTAAATGATCGTATCAACGATGACCTTGAAGAGGAAAGGTGAAAGGAAACAGAAATATCGGACACCACTTGATGAGGTGAACTCAGGATAGAGCTTCCCGTAGACCTTCACACGGCCGCGGGAGTTGGAGTACACCGCCTTAATGAGAGTCAAAAGAAATCCAGTGTTCCAACACGCCGGGGATTCAGGAGACAAAAATACACTGGTCTATACCAACCAGCAAACATTTCTTTAGTGTCCTCTAAAGCAGGCTGTTGTCAAAACTAGTTACGTTTAAAGCTGGTGGTGAACACATGTCCTACATTGCAAACTTTGTTTTCGGCTAGGTCTTCTGTAAGAATTCATGAGTAGTTACTTGCACAAAGATATCATCGGCCAGAAGCTTCTCTTATGAAGTTCAAGCCACTCGTTGACGTAGTGCTCATTTGTCCTAGCTAGCGTCAGGGGTTGGCTGGCAAACGATTTTGAAGTCAGCTGCACTCTGATGTCTACCAGCCCTGAGAGCAAACAATCTGTGGCCATCGATGGAAGCTTCGTTGAGTGCCTTTGGCAGTTTGGAGTGATCTGATTGTTATAGATTCCACGTAAAGTCTTTGCTTTCAGATATTTTCTTGCATCCCAAAAGCTCCACAATTGTTTTGCTACTACCTTGTCCCGAGACAAGCTATACAGGCTCACTTTTGGGATGATAATAAAGATCTTTATTTTCATCCCAAAAGTGAGCCTGTATAGCTAGTTTCTTTCGAAATCCTGTTGTGAATATCACGAATATTTCTAGCTACTTCAGAACAGATTAAATTCCCACAATGTCTGTAGAAATCCGTTGTAAAACACCACATGGTTTCAACACTAAGCTTCTGAAATAAACTATTGCTGTAAGTCATCCAAGTTCACTATGGATTAAAATTTTCTGAACCTAGCAGATTCAGCCTATAATTACCAGAAAACAGAAGCGCCGCACTTCCTGCCTCTTCGCGAATTTCACAGGATATGTTGA